CATGCGTTTAACATGACATGAGGACGTATAGTAAATCGGTCCTTAACCGACACAGATGGGGATAAATAGGCACCAAGACCTCCATGCCTTGTTGCTTCTCTATCACAATCTCACCCGATCTCCTTTTATTCATCAACACATGGTTATTTTCACGATAGCAAATATAGCCAACCATACTTTGGTATCCACCTATATCTCACAGGTGATAGGAAATCACCTGATTTCTATCGGTCTAAGCATTGCCAAGCATACATTCGATCCTGGACCTACATAGGGTTCAAGGTATATTTCTGGACAAGGTAGTTCTATGCATCAAGTGGTTCCAATCAACTCTTATAACCTAATACGTCAAACATAAAGGACTCAAGTGATATTTGTAAAAAACATATGAGGCTTAAAATGCTATGGGGCTTGCCTAGGATCTAACACTAGGTTAGTGTTTGTTAGACGACACTTGCTTGTCGAGCATATCCTATTTAGGCATGAACTCTAGGGGTCCTTCCATCTTCGGGATAGGTCCACCAACACCGTCTTCTAGTTCGACTCCATCATCACGTCCTAGCGTACCTAGATGAGATGCAACAATGCAAGTGCATGAATGCGAAGAATGGCAATATGAGATGCCTCACATAAAAGTATTCAAGATGAGCATAAGGTTACACTGAACATATATAAGCACTCCACGTTACTTAATTAAACATCCCACAACCAATCATGCTAGGATAGCAAGGAAGGTAGCACCAAGCATGACACAAGTTTCATAAGGTTTTAGGTATATTAACTTAATACCATCAAAGGCATAAGCCACACTTAGCAACACACAAAGCAAAGCAAGGTGAAACAAATAATTTTAGGTACAACACAGATTCTGAACAGCAGCACCACAGTCACTTGTTTTAATCATACCCAGAGTTCTAGGCATGAAAAACTGTGATTCAAGACTTTATGAAAAGCTAATGAAATTATATAAAACTTTGTTATTAACACCAAAAACCGATTCAACAAATAACAAGGTCAAAATACATCATGAAGCAGAGCTTATACAACTAAGGACAGAAAACTGATATTAATTTTAGAAATGCATAACTAGAGTTCTAGACATTCAGCAAACATGATTTTTAACTTTATGTAAATCTTATGAAGTTATCTATAACTTTTTCATTATCATTTTAAGATGATTCTATAGCTAACAAGGTCAAACAACACCAAAAAGGCATCTCTGTCCAGATTTGGACAGAAATCTGTTATTCCACTTTGAATAGCTATAACTGGAGTTATAGACCACCAAAAGTAGTGATCTTAGACATTTTAGAAATCTTAGGAAAATCGCTACAACTCTCCTATTATCACCAATACATGATTCATGTTTAAATGAGACAAATAATACAATCATTCAGATCTGTCTAGAGGGCATGCAAAAATTGACAGCAAACTTGTAAAATCTATAACTCCTAAACCAGCAGACCTAAAATCTTCAAATTTGAGGACAAGCAAGATAAGGAAATTATCTACAACTTTTGTATGTAACATATCCACATAAAACATCATTTGCATCACGAAAATATCACCACCACAAAAACTATACATTCAACCATAACAACAGAGATACAATTATATGCATTTATCATTTATGTTGTTAACAACTAACATTTTGTTGCTATATATGTAACTCCTAGCTATAACCAAGCAATCATATTACCTAGCACCAATTATTAGAAGTATTACATGGCATAAACACAAGCATCTACTATCAAACTTTCATTAGCTTTTCTATATATAAAAAACTATATATTAATTATAGTTGATGTTGCAAACATCTCATTTGGATCTCAAATTTTTATGTGAGATATATGATGACAATACATGATTACTCTACAAATCTTACATGCTCAGGGTTTATAATTTCATTGCTATGAAAAAGACAAATCTTAATTATTAATAAACATGTGAGAACAAGATAAATCTAAATATCACTATTTTCTATAAATATATAGCCATATTAGGGTTTCTTAGGCCACATTATCACCATGCAAGGACAAAGGAACCACATTTCACATTTTTGCACATATAAATTATTTATAAGCCATTTAAAATCATTTATCAAGCATTAAACTGGTTAAATCAATAGCTCAATCATACTACATTCAATGACTATGAACATTTTACCACAGAATACACATAGCATCAGTAGCCTACCATAAAATTTTCATAGCAATTGGAGCACCACAACTTTAGATATGAGAATAACAAGCTAAACAAGCTAAAATTGCCAATTTAACAAGATTAAATCAAAACATTATAAAAATAGTACACAACTAGCATGTTTAATATTTTTATTAGCTAGAGCATGTCATCACAAGATTAACATAACTGGAATTACCATTTTTGGACTTCTATAACTCAAGATATGCATCCGACAACTTAAAAGGATTTTTGAAAGCACTTTGCAAGAATAAATAAAAACAGCAGAAACTTTCTACTAACACATATCATATTATAACTCTACTACATAGATCTACTCTCAAGGATTTCAAAAAGTCCTCATTTGCTATTTTATGATTTTTCTATAATTTATTATGATTTTCTAAAGTTTCAGCCATAAAAGAAAAAATAGATTTGCACCGAGGACCCCGAACTTCCATGAAAATAGATTCCAGTGAAACAGTCCTTCTAGTCACTATTCACATGGGTCACATACTTTGCAGATAACCACTTGCACTTGTTCCAATTGTTGCGCGAGGTCCCTCACGTGGGTCAGAACAGAGGAGGCGGAAGAGGATCGCCGGCCAGGCGATTTCCGGCCGGTGAGGTCGTCGCCGGTGATGGGGAAACATCGGGGGAGCACCAGGGGGTCCACACACATCCATGGGACAACTCGGCTCAGCCCGAGGCGGCCCTAGGTGGCGTGGCCACGGCAGCAGCGGACCGACGACCGATGAGGACAGGCTCGGGGTCAGCCGGCCTTGGCCAGTAGGGGCCGACAACGGCGGGGAGCATCAGGGTGTGCTCACGCACCTATGGTGGGGCGTAGCCCGACCAGAGGCAAGCCAAAGTGGCCAGGCCATGTGCGCACGCGGCGCGCAGAGGAACTGCTCCGACGGCAGCAGGCTGCATGCAGCGGTGTTGCTAGGAAGGCAATGCGAGATGTTGGTGGAGGATTGGCACACTGAGTGGCTGGAGGGGGCTTTTGTAGAGGAGGAGTAGCGGATGCAGCGAACTTGGCCTGGCCGTCAATGGCGGTGGCGTCCGCGTGAGCTCAAAGCGAGGAGGATGGAGAGCGAGCGAGCCAGAGAGAGCGGAGGGCGTCCGCGACCGCATGGAGCATGAGGCACTCGGGCGACAGCGAGGTGGGAAGGCAAGGGCACATGGCAAGGAGGTGGGGAGCTTAGCTTGGGCATGGAGGCCATGTCCTGGACACATGTCGCCCATTGGGGCATTTTGCCGAGCACGTGGCGGGCAGCGATGTGGGTAAGGTGGGCGCCATTTTTGGGCCAGCTACAGGCCTATTTGGACCTTGGACCCAAAAACAAAGTTATAGCCCACCTGATGATCTACAAAACTCATTAAGGGTGCCTGGCCATTAGAGCTCTCAATTAGCGACTAATTAAGCTCCAAGTTGACAGTGTCAACGACTTAAGGAAGGTTAAGCCTTGCTCTGCTTGAGCTCGAATTACTTGGTCAAAACAAGGACAAATTTGATCCAACTTTTTGTATGTCATTCTCCAAGATGTAAACTCCAACTTTTATTTTGGGATCAAGTCAAGTTGCTTAACAAAAACACGAGAACACGACATGCCAACTATCATTGCCACTAATCTCAGACTTAGAATATTTTCCAGGGGTGAAAACAGCAGCTGATTCAAACTTGAGACCACTGTTTGAGCTACTTAGGAGTTGAAATAGGTCTTGGTCCTAAAATAAAGTTTGTTATACTTAAGCAGAACTGAAACTTTTATTTAAGGTCCAACTCCATGCAAGCACTCCAAATAGTTGGTCAACATAGGTATTCCCACACTTAGAAGCATTTTCTTGACATTTGCTCAACATGAACTCTTCATGACTTTTGTTGTAGAGTTCAATTAGAGTCATTTGGGCAAGGTAGCAAGGTTTGGTCGACATCCCATGTTCCCATTCACCTGATGAAGCAATTCAAGAAAGATTATAACTTATCATTTCATATGACTTCTTGGCTCCAAACTTCACGAAACTTTTCCATTGGTCAAGGTGGATGCATGTTGATGTAATGTTCATGAAATAAGCATGTTTAACATTACTCATGCCTAATCTTAACCAGGGTCCCCATGTAAGCAAAGTTTATTGTCTGATTCCAAGTTGGGGCTCATTTTCATAGGTTTGACCTCAATACCTTCATCATCACTTCAAAATTATGAACTAGAGATCATGATCATTGCTTGACATAGTTTAGTTAAGTCCAAACCCACTGCTTAACTTGTGACTAACACCTGGGGTGTTACACTCTTATTAGGGGACGTTTTTTTTGGAGAGACCTAGTATAATTTTGATTGATCTATTATAGTAGAGATGAAAATAGCTTCACCATGGTCAATAGCTTCACCATGGTCCCTCCAGATCGCAACAATTTCATTCATTTTTTTGTGCTCGTAGCAACGTGAAGCGCATTTCTGTCAATAGCATTTTGGAATTTGTTGTCTTTGTCTATCAAATTCAAACATAGGCCACAGTACATAGTCTTTCAGTTTTTTTTTTGGTGGAGAGGACATAGTCTTTCAGTTAAACGACACAAATGGAGAAGAAACAGGGACTGAATACGCTGCTTGCCACTAGAGAAGTAATGGGCCCGATAAACGGGCCCTGCTGTGAAATTTTCGTAGTTGTGGGCTTGTATAACACATATTTATGATGGGACGCGGCACGATCACTTCCATCGATCGTCGCCCACTCGCCCTCACCCACCCGGCCACCCCAGCTGCCTGCAATCTGCAAGTGCCAACTGCCACCCACCGCCGCGCCGCCGCGCCATGGCTTCCCCGTCCCCCTCCTCGCCCCTCCACCCGCACTCGCACCAGCACCCGCCCCCTCCGAATCCTCATCACCAATTCCAATCCCCACCGCCGTCGATGCTGCCGCCGCCGTCAGCGGCGCTGCCTAAGGCGCTCGACCTGGAGGTTACCGTCGTCTCCGGGAAGCACCTGAAGAATGTCAACTGGCGCCGTGGCGACCTCCGTGCCTACGTCGTGGTCTACCTTGATCCCTCCCGCCGCGCCGCCACCCGCCCCGACGACGGCGGCGGGTGCAAACCAACCTGGAACGAGCGCCTCGTCCTCCCGCTTCCGCCCCACCTCTCCCCGCACGACCCCTCGATCCTCCTGTCCCTCGACGTTTTCCACTCTAAGCCCTCCGATTCGCCCAAGCCGCTCGTCGGATCCGCCCGCTCTCCTCTCCGCGACCTCCTCTTCCCCGCAAACCCTAACCCTAGCCACGATTCCTCATCCTCCGCTCTCGTCAGCCTGCCACTCCTCCGCCCTTCCGGCCGCCCACAGGGAAAGCTCCGCATCCGCGTCGCCATCCGCGAGCGCTCGCCGCCGCCTCCTGAGCCGCAATACCCTCCGCCATCCAACTCCCCATACTACTTTACACCGCCTCCTCCTGCCTACTCGGCCCCGCCGCAGTACGGATCCGACCAGTACTATCGCCCCAGTGGGTACTACTCTGCACCTGCACCTCCACCACCTCAGTATGAGTACACCGGAGGGCCCTCTGCACCGGTGGACTACAACAGGCAATATGAGCAGAGAGGGAGGACTGGGGGCGGTGGTAGTGGCAGTGGGAATGGAAGGTATGGAGTGGGGACTGGGCTTGCGGTGGGTGCTGTGGCTGGAGCCCTCGGGGGTCTAGCAATTGATGAAGCTGTGAAGTACAAGGAGGAGAAGGCTGCAGAGCGAGTGGAAGAGAAGGTTGTACCTGCTGGGAGGGATGATTACAGCGAGTATCGTGGCGACTATTGAATGAAAGTTTGTGTGAGTGTGGAACTAAGAAAGCACTGTGAGTTGATTCTTCTTCCATGCCTACGTGGGAATAAAGTCACAGTGTTAGTCTATGGCTTGCTCCATGTATGTGTATATATTTGTTTTGTGGATTATTCTGATACCTATAAACTACAAGGTTTTATGATGACAGATTTGGTGTGTAACATAAAGGTCTCATGGTTTGCTTTGATGCTGTACTTGTGTCTTGTTGTCTTGATATTGGGTGTTATCTTTTCCAGCAATTGTACTGATCTGTTTTCCTTGTATTTGGTGTGTTGAAATTGTTGTATACTCGTCAAAGGTAGCATTGCTTTGTAGTAAATTCGAAGTTGGATATAAACATTTGTCTGTACAGCAAACTACGTCTGGCTATGACTCCCGTGAGCTTATTTATTATTTGATGTGCCTCTGCAACCAGGAAATGAGCTGGTACATGTAAACTGAAAGTGCAATTTGGAAAAACTTGGTCATACATTGTAGGGGATATGATCCAAATCTGGGCAGAGACTAGGCATAAGCTACAAGGATTTATTTATTAACAGAAAAGCATATGTTTTTTTCATTCACCTTCTAAACACATATCCATGCAATATTCAGGAATTTCCTTATGTTCTTTTCGGTTAATTTTTAAATTACCCCTTCCGAGTGATAAAAAATCAGTTTTCAGTGAGCCTTAATGCCAAATAACTATGCAGTATGCATTTATTAAGCTTCAGTGGCACTGTTTGGAACTAAAACAAATTAATAGGTCTTTGTTCTCTAGTTGCTAGATGGCCTTTTTAGTTTGCACATTGCAAACTTCGCAACTTAGTGCTGCAAATTTTTCCAAAGGATCTTCATACACTTTTGCTCAAAATAGTTGCTGGCGTGTATAAGATAAAAAAGTTCTTTCAATGATCATTCTTATACTATTTTTTTGTGTGTTTTTAAACAATCATTTCGACATAAGGAACTAGGTTCTCGCAATGCTAGCACTCAACTTAGTATGCATCGATGCTTCTAGACAGTGGTGTTCTAACGTTTCTGGGCCACGTGCAGCCTTAGACCCTGCATATGTTTTCCATTTATTATTTTCTTTGAGTGATACAACATGGGAAACTTTAACACTACACTACTTACCAGTCTTGGTATTTCAGCTTATGAAGCCCTATCCTTTAACTTCTCAGTTAGTATGTGTAAATTAATAAAACAGGAAGCTAATTTGTGTTCGGTTCGTGGACACCTTTGTTTATGGTGTAATTATGATTGTTATGGTGTTAATTTTGTTTTTTCCCCCCCTGTATTTCACCTTCTTTTTTAATATGCAGATCGGCAGTTAACCAACCAGGTTCTCTTTAAAAAGGCATAATTAGGGACATTCAACTGTAAGATAAAAAGGCAGATAGCTTTAGTTAAATTTTCTGCATACTTTCAGTTTACAATTGCTACTATGGCCCTATTTGAGTATTTGGCACAGCTCCAGCTCTGAGCTCTCTCAGATCTGGAGTCTATATGCTAAAATGAAGAACATGTCTAGAATAAGGAAACGGGTAGGCCAAACAACTCTGTACCAACAGCTCCAGATTCTCAGATTTCTGGAGCTAGGAATACCCAGCTCAAAAAATCTGCGACCCACAAATTTCTTGGATCTGGACCTCTGCAAAACAGACCTATATATCTGGGAAAAACCACAAGTTATTTCTCTGATCCGAATCACAACAATGGCTGGGGTTATTAGAAAGATACATGTCACTGTTGGGAAACAACACAATGTTTTTATGAATGGGAAATCAGATAACTGGGAACTAATGCATGGATGGGTTAGTACTACAATCCGTGAAATTTGTAGTTAGCATCCAATAATCCATGACTGCAGACTAGGAGCCTAGGAGGATGTCCCTGCCAACCTTGTACTATTCATTGACTGGATGACAGTGGCAACAGTAAGTTACCGAAACAAACAATTAGCTGTATATGTTTGCATTGCATATTTTGTTGATCCACAAAGGATATTTAGTTAAGCATGGGACAATGCACGTGGCATAGTTTATCAACTAATCTAAAGGCCTTGTGGTTCCTCAGCTTCCCATGAAAGCTCAATTTTATGCTTCTTGATTTTTCTGCCTAGCCAATATTCCTCATATAAATCTATGAAGTCTCTCCAGTTAAATGACCTAAAGATTGACCAAGGATCTCCTTGGTGGTTGGCTCATTCCCAGAGTTGCTAGCCTTACTTTGGTTAAGGGAGAGGAGAGATTTACATGCTTTTGGGCAAGAATCCAAACAAATATTTCCTTACCACTGGCGAGTCTGGCCAAAGGATTTCAAGGGAACTAAACTTCAACTGCATGACTTATTCTGTGTATGGGTGTAGATTTCTCAGGCTACCTGTGTAGATATTTTGCAAAGGATTGATGGGAACCTCTCACGTAATATGTGTTATTGCCATAGTTTTTGAGGTTTCACCTAGGCGTTGATGCGTAACCCAGGCGCCACAGGACACCACAAGGTTTTAGTTACACCATATCACTTAGGCGTCCAGGCATACACCCAGCGCCACAGTATTATTGCCACAACCCCTCAAAAACCATGATTATTGCAGTTGATATGATAGGCTTACTACGCCTCAAAAACTAGAGTATTGAACACATACTCTAGTTTTCTTGATTGATAGGCTTTACTATGCATGCAAATCTGCTGATATAAAACTGCAAATTTTACTCTTTAATAACCTTGTTTATGTCAGAGTGTCAAGGCTCTTATGGAACCATGGCAACATCCAGACAGATTAGCAGAACCGGGGAACGGTTAAATTGGTGCTTGAGTAGGTACTTAGTTGTAAGCTTTCGCTGGCACAAGCACGTTGCTATTTTTTTTTTTTGTATGGGTCCTTTTTTTACTAGAGATATTAGCATGTTGGATCTATGGTAAGAGCAGACGACGGGGAAGGTGCTGGGGTGGACTCCGTGGGGGGCTCGTCGGGTAGCTGCCGTGGGAGGCCGCCCCAACCGTTGCTGGCGCGCCCGCATGGGAGCCACGCGGAGCGTCGGCCGGACGGAAGGGGCGTCGGTGGTGGCACGGAGCGTCTAGCGGTTTCATGAGCGGACAAGCGTATACGGCTCCTGACGGGCGTGGGAAGATAAATGACAAAAATTGAAAAGTAGGGATAATAAAAGAAAGATGAGAGAACTTGAGGGACTTGTTTTTGACTTGAGCTCTTAATTTTTTGGGTTTATTAGGGGTCTGTTTGAGGGTCCTGCTGGAGTTGCTGTTAGTTTTCGAACATAATGCTGACATGAAATATCTGTTCGTCATTCATATCCAGTTGGATGGAGTGGAGAAATTAATTGAAATAAGATGAATACATTTATGCCGTAGGTGGAAGCTATCGCTTTGCATATGGTGTCAAGCTTATCCGTTCAATTTATTTACACATACTACACTTCTGCTTGACTATCTAGTTCCTATGTCACAATATTCCCCTATCCTTGGTTTTCGACCAGTGTTTTTGACTTGAGCTCTTAAATTTTTGGTTTAGCCCGTTGGAGGGTCCAGTTGGAGTTGCTCTTAGTTTTAGAACATAATGCTGACATCCAAATATCTGTTCGTCATTCATATCCAATTGGATGGAGAGGATAAATCACTTCGGATAAAATGTATAAATTTATGCCGTAGGAGGAAGCTGTGGCTTTGCATATGGTGTCAATCTTATCAGTTCAGTTTATATACACATACTATACTTCTGTTTAACTATCTAGTTGCTATTGTCATAATATTCCCTTATCCTTGGTTTTCCTATCTAATTAACAGTTAATCCGTAGTTCGAAAGCAACTTTTTTCCATCAAAAGTTATATTAAATTCATCAGTATCTTTTTTATCAAATAAAAGCTCAATCGAGCGTAGTTGCCTTCAACGGTTCTCTAGGGTTTTCTTTTGAGTGATCAGAACTGAAACAGTGTGCGCGCCATTGCGCCTCTTCTCCCCTTGCAGCTTGTTGTCTCCGTATTCCATAGCAACTCCTTGCAAAAATTTCGAAGCCATTCCCGTATTAGGGAATATAGGTATGACTATGTAGAATTCTCCATCGAAAAATGACTTCACATCCTGTTCTTGAAATATAGTTGATGTAATTTGAATTCAGCTTGAAAGCAAGCAATATTTTTAGCACAAGTGCAAACACTCCACGTGGAGAGCAGTGGGAAACTCTTCATCGAGAAATGACTTTCCGCCGTTACCGTACGGTACATCATGGAATATGGTTGATATAATTCAAATTCAGCTTGAAAGCAAGCAACAATTTTTAGCAGAACTGCAAAACTAATGAAGTGTACAGTCCATTACTATAATTATATACTCCTGCATTACCATAAGCGGAGCTACACACTTACACAGTGTAGGCGATGCGGCTGTACCCATGGAAAAACAAATATTATGTCCAGTTTTTTTCACTATATACGAGTCAACATTGCATAAATTCATGCACTAATTAAGACAAGCACACCTGTGATTTGCTCTAACTCTACTTTTGTACGTTGTACAACAAAAATGTCAGGAGTTCTTCTGATTTCTAACTAAGTGCATATATGGATAATAGGGAGAGTAGAGATGGGCATAAAGGATCTATTTGGACGTACTCGTATTCACTTTAATTCATATGTGTTGAAATAAATTGAGTTAAAAAATAAACTAAATTTTATCCTAATCCTCTTCAATACATATAAATTGAGATAAAAATGAGTGCATCCAAACAAGGCGTAAGAAATTTCTTGTAGGGAATAAAAGAGCACTAGAGCAGAATTCATTGACATCCCCACCTCCACACATTTGCATATGTAAGTACGAGGCATAATTGTGATTTATGAGCTAGCTCTAAATATATTATTTTTTTAATAAAAAAAGAAAAACTATCTCTAGATGAAGAGTTAGTCTCATACACACTGCTAAAAATTAATGTTATTGTAGAAATGGTCTTAGAGCTAGAGCTAGCCTGATACGCAAC